ACTCTTGCCGCTTCCCCCCGAATATTAGACAAATTCATAAGTTGTTTTTCTCCCTTGCCTCGAATTCGATAACGAAGAGAGAAACGTTGTTGGTATTTAGAATTAAATAGGATAATTTGGATACTTGTTTATTAATATATATGTTTTTTAAATTTGGTTTGTTATATTTTCAAACTTGTAAATTAATTATTGTAGATATATTTCATTATACAATGGAACAGAATGGAAAGAAAGAAATCAAAAGGAAACTTTGAAAAAATTTGAAAATACTATTTCAATTAATTCATCTATTTCAAATTTATTTACTCATTTTTCTTCTACTTGAGGGAAAAAGAAAGTAAACGAAGTCATCGACGATTAATACACGAAGATATCACATTTTCTTTCGAATTCGTTCGAAAGAAAATTCGCAAAAAAAAAGGAAAAGAAAAAGACACGCAAAGTTTTCTCGGCCAAAAGAGAGAGAGAAAAAAAGGAAGAATAAAAATAGTCACGCCTATATCGATATCATATTCGTAACGTCACGAAACGAAGATATCGAGGCGCATTATTAACAGACATCGGTGCGTTTCGAGCACCAACCCTCATAAATTGCCTCGGTTCGTAAATGTGCCGAATCGATTTGGCTGTCAGCCGTCCGACGCCCGCTACGAATCAAGATCGTAATATCGCCGGTAAAAATGTCAGGAAGACGATTCCTCTTTTTGACAAACGATAGACACTCGGCTTCCGAGTGTATCAAGGTTAATCTCGCTTCGCGATTTTTCTTCCACTACTGGTTCACTCCATTCGATTCGACCACTCTTTTTCTTTGTACCCCTCCTCTTCCATTTTCACTCTTCCCGCGGAGATTTTTTAACGTCATTGTCGCGATGCAGCGACGATGATTGCACGATTCATACAATGCGATTAATAGGAAAAGCGATTAGACGCGTCGGCCGAGATTAAAAAGTTTCGATATTAAATTTTATTTTCTTTTATTCTCCCTCAGAATATGTTATTACATCTCTGAGAAAATTTACGTTACGTTCAAAATGTTTTTTTTTTTCAAGTCTTTTACAATTTAAAAAAGAAATAAAAAGAATTCGGTTAAATTTTCGAGGGAGGAGGGATTCATTTTACTTGGCTTGTAAAAAGCGTGTAATTGCTCAAAAATTGAGAACACCTGTTTGCATAATATTTAAAAAATAAAACTTCTGGACGAAAAAACGCTTCACTTTACATAAACGTAGTTTTGCAAAACTACTTTCATTCTTTTACCTACGAGTGATCACGCGTGTATTTGAACTCCTTCTGAGCCGAGATACCTTATGCATTATTCGTTTCCTTTTTTTTTTTTTTTTTCATTCCAGTTCATTGCGTTCAATTTTCATAATTTTTCCTTTTATATACATCGTGTACAGAACGGAAAAGAAGTGGTCGAAAAAAGCTTGCATTAAAATCCATGAGACGAGAAAACTTTTCGAGAATCTCATCTTGCATTATTTCTTCTTGCTTTACCACCCACGATTAATAAAATATTAGATAATTTACAAGCCGTGTTTTCGCATCCTCCGATATCTGATATTCATTGTGCTTTCTCTCTCTCTTATTTTCTCTCTCTCTCTTGCGCGCGCGCGCGTTCTTCAGGCCGTGCACTATTAAAAATTTTAATGCCGGCAAGCACAGCACGGGACGTTTCCAACTGCCCTCGGGCACCCACGAGATTTTAATCTCGCCGTTGTAATAAGAAATAAACCGAGCTGCTAGTGGACTCGCTAAATATCAGCCTCGTTGAAAACGTTCGTGGCCGCGTCACGCGATCGAAAAATGCGAAACAGAAAGAATCTCAGGGGCAATTAAGGTGTTTAGCATTCGAAAATCTTGCGCAATTATCAAGATCAAAGCTAATACGCTCCAGATTTATTTTCTTTCACCGCTTTCGAAACGGTTGTTGCGTTTACAAACACCGTTCACTGCTCTTGGATAGCGTTTGACAAACGTATGAATCGTGTGAATTTAATATTGACGTAGTAATTTCCAGAATTTTCCTTCTCAAGTTGAAAAGCGATCTCTAGCGACGATTAACACTCCATGGATTTTAAAGGAAATTTTGTGTTTAAAGTCGAAAGTGAAATTCTTTGAGAGCAAATGATTTTCGACAAAGTGTCCACTCGTCATAGATTTTTCTTATTCTCGAAATAGATTAATACGATGTTCGTTTTATATTCTTTATCGTTAATTATACCGGATTGCGAATTAAAATTTGAAGATCTCGAATGGATATCGTATCGTTGGGTGTAAAAGTTTCTCTCTCGCTTGTGCGATATGATACAAGTGATACGAGTATTTAGCTTGGGAGAAAGAACCGTTACCTAAACGGATAACGACAAGGAAAAAGGAAAGACGAAAGAGTTTGGTTGAACTTAAGTTGATTAAAGTAACCGATTGCGAACCGTTGGCCAAAGTTCAACGTTCATAGTTTCCCAACTTCTGGCAAACCGATACTAGATGTCCCTTTAGCAGTAGAAAATTAACAGCCGATTCTACGATATAATTGTGCAACTTCCTCTTCGGCCCCCGTATCTCTCGAAACTCTTTAACTTCCCGTTTCTTCCAAAGAATTATTGCAAAAACCCTTCGCACGATAATTTATCAATAAATACAATGAATTGTCGAGTCACGAGTTGCAAACTGTCTCTTTTATCATTTTTACAATTTTACAATCCGTAACATTTTTGTTAAAGTTCCTTGTTGAACTTCGATCGGAAGAATTCTCGCGAGGAATAATTTTTTTTCTTTTTTTTTTTTTTTTTTTTTTTTT